GTATCTCGCAGCCTGTGCAGGTGATATATTTTCGCGATGTGTGTTACGCCAAGTTTTTCGTACATTTACATACGGTGCGTAACGCCATTAAGGACCTTTTCCGGTCACGAAATGGCATTTACAATCTTCCCGAGGAAACTCGAATGTCAAATATTAAGTGATATCCAGATACCGCTCAAATAGAGTACACCGCTCATGAATTTCGCAGGAACATGCGATTATTTTAGCTGGATTTCTCTCGCGGGACCTTCTCCTGCCGAGGTCTCCTCTTCGATCTGTTCGGTCTGTTTCGTCCGACCGTGAATTATATCCGATAGCAGACAAATAAATTAAATCTCTGCTCTTAGATATAAATAGAGAAATATATTCAATTGACTATTAAATTCTCTAAATTAGAGAATCGCCAAGAATATCGCTGTATGTCATTAACATTGGCAAAAAATCTTGGTATTTTTTTTTAGAAGAGAATGGACGCGTTCTCTCACTATTTTTCTGTAATCTCTAACGATCCTGTAATTGTATCTTGTATAATTCGATTAAAAATGTCACGAGAGTGTCGTGTTGTCGCGATCAGCTGTGCGCAGGGCATTCGAACGGTGAGGACGAGAGAAGAGGTCGAACGGTGAGGTCGATCGTAAAAATGCGAGCCGAGCTGCAACGGAGGGTGTGTTTACTCCCGTTGTAAAAGCGGTCGTGCGTATACGCGAGCCGCTGAGTGCCACGTTGTGTGTCGGCAAGCGATCGATAGCGAATGAAACCCAAAGCGGCCCACGACGACACCGCCATTGGTTTGCTACTCGTAAAACAAGGCGTCGTTCCAGACGGGCGGGACGTTAGGGCTCACCCCTCGAGCCCTCCGTAACCTCCGTGAGCTGACTCACGACGAGACGTGGCTTCGTTTCCCCCTTGACTTTTCTGAAAGCACGGCCCGATGCGGCCGATAATCGATACCAGGAATCACTCTGTTTTGTAGAAAATTAGTAGCTGCCCTTTATAGAGTTAAGAGTTCGAATAAAATGCCGGGTAGGATGCTCTGTTCTAGAGGAATTTTCAGGCCGATTTAATTTGTAAAGATTATTCAATATTAAATCTAATTATATTATATGTGTGGCAATTATTACATATTTGAATAATGTTACACTGAAAAAAATTCATGTAATTTTACATGAAAAATTACATGTTTGAAACTGTAAAATTATCCAATTATTACTGTAATTTCTTTTTTCCAGGTATATTAAAGTAAAAATACATATTAATAGTAAAATATAGGTAAAATTACTATTTTTATGTAAAAATCACTTGTAGTTTTAAATTTAGCGGTATTTTCACAACAATGAACGGAAAAAAAACCAGTTTCATGCAAAATTACAGGAAGAAATGTAATTTTACATTTATTGTGTGATTTTTACATTTATTGTGTGATTATTATCATTCGATAGATGGCATCCGATGAGATCCGTTTCTCAAATTTAAAATATGACGAACGATGGTGTAAGAATCATGATGGAACTGCACAACTTGTATATAAGTTGTTTCGTGGCGTCCAACACACACACACACACACTTTTATAATAAAGCGTGGCACACTTTTGGATTAATGTTAATGTAACTTTATTTTAGTTAATATCTTTATTTTTGAAGATAGAATCTTTGTTCCTCCGAGCATGTCCGAAGCTTTTCATTACATGTTTAGTGGATTCCATATTTCATGTGAAATTACATATAATCTGTAATTTTCCATGTAAGTGTAATATAATGCATGATTATGCTGGGTCGGAAAAAAACCCAGCATATATATATAATCATGTGATTTTACACAAATATTTTTTTCAGTGTAGAAAGAATGTAAGAAGAGTGAAGTCTGAGTATTGTATTCTGGAATAGATATATTTTAAACATTGATTTTGGCTCGGTTAACTATAATCTCGATTTATTCGTCATATCTTTCATTCTAGTTTACCTTAAAATTAGCTGAAGTATGAAATGTAAAAGACATTATTAAAACGATATTGAATAGCAGTAATAGAACGACCTTGCGAATCGCAGCGACTTTACACCGAAGCTCTCGAAAAAGACTCTTCCGTCTCGAATCGCTTGCATCAGACATTTTCCGGCTCAGTGTTTCTCGAAAATCAATTTCTACGTATATCGGCGAGAGAGGCAAGGATCGGGATGTCTCGCCATCGACGAGAAAAGAGATTTCTGGGGCGAAATTCTGCGGGCGCGCCGACGGATTTTCCGTTGGCGCAGAGAGTATCGAACGGGGAAACCGAGAGCGCGGATGATGTTACAGAGCAAAACGGGAAGAACGGGGGGCAGGGGGGTTACTGCGAGCGATGCCGAGGAGAAACAAAAGGGAGTAAAGAAAGTATTGCGCGGTTGTCAGGGGATAAGATGTCGGGGGTCTCGGGAACAACCTCGACATCGGAGGCAATTACCGGCCCGCTGCAATGAATACGGCGGGTCGTGTCCCATTGGTGTGTAATAGCGTCGTAATTACTTTAAGCCACGGTTGCCACGGCGGATTCGATAGAATCCACGATCGTCTGAGACTAAACGAACCGAGGAAAAGGCGACTTTTTACGGTTAATTACTACGTTACTGGATACTTTGTCATTCTTACGTTCTCATTAATTCGAGGATATCTTGTTATATACAGTTGTATAAGAAAGGAGATATGCTCGATGCAGCGCGCGGCGACAATGTTGTAGCGATTTATTTATTTATTACCAATTCATATCAACCTGTACTTCTGTCGTTTTTCATAATACGAATTCCTCTCTGAAGATGATATATTTCTCAGCGCGACGACGTCGATGGGAAGCTCTCTTCTTTACGGTCTATAAGCAGACCGCCTAATCTTCTTTTTTCCTTTCTTGCTCGTTTCGCTTTTCTTCTCTCTCCCTTTCTCCTTCGAGCTTGTTTCTTCCCCCCCCCCCTCTCGTATGCGCGAAGACGATTTCCTTCCGCTTCTCGAGAAGCTCTTGGCTAAACGACCGCGTCCCGATGGTTCCATTCCTCGAAAGCCCGAGAGGGATCAATCGTTCACTCGGTCCGTGCCGAATGCCCTGTGAGCACGGCTAGCTCTTTCGAGACATTTCGATTGTGAAATGACCTCCGCCTGCTTTAGTTCCGGCAAAAGAGTGCCTGCCGTCGAGTACCGTCGTCGACGTTCCGAAGGCAATTTAATTAAAGTAACTTCAGCCGGGCGAGAATACGAGGGGTTTTTCTTTCCCTCGCGAAACTGTTTCTATTTATTCAGGATCTTCTACTCGCGCCGATTTTGATCTCGCACAAAGGCCAGGCCACTGCCAAGCTCATCCGGCCCGGAGTAGAAACCGCGTGCGGTCTCTTTGACGCGAATGCGTTTTTGTTCTCCGTCTCCAATTTTCCTTCGTCGACCGCTTGAAAAGTCTTTTGTGTAATGCGGCGAACTCCCGCTTATTTCTGTTCCCGCAAGGGCTCGACTAGCTAGAATAAATTAATTTTTCCGCCTCGGACGTACAGTGCAGTTGAAAATTGCGACAGTAGCGGATTGAAATATGTGTGGGGACTAAGTAAAAATATCTGTCTCCTCTTTTTTTTCAACGAAACATTTATGCCAAACGCGATATGAAGCGCGGAGTAATTCCATGCTCTTTTCATTTCAAATGTCAAACGTTCATTAATCCCCTATAGACAGGCTGTCTTTTAAATAACGAGCATGCTATCGGAAAAAAAGCTCCTTTGACGCGACTGGACGCGCGACGGGACATTAATCAAACCTCCTCGCGGTATTAATTTTTTTTTCTGACCGGAATAAAGCGCGGAAATCGCTCGGACACGAGTCCCAAAGCGAGAGAGACTTGTTCGTGAGACGTGCAGCACGTTTCGAAACGTGGCGAACTACTTTCAGGATGGCCGATGGACAATGAAGGGAGCCGTTTTGGGGTCGTAAAATTCTCAGGAGTGTCTCTCTTAAGCCGGTAACGGCGAGCAGTACGTTTACGTCCGTTCCGCTACTCGATTTAACTGTTACCGTATATATACCGACGTGACTAATAAAATTACTCGAGAACGACGGAGGACGATGGAGAAACGCGAGCGGGATAATATATCAGGGGAGAATAATTTTTAAAGGTATCAAATTATTCAATCAAGCGAGAGCGATATGGCGCGCGCGTGAATTCATAAAGCGCTGTATATCTTTCATTAACCCCGCGCGCTCCCGGGGATCTTTTTCTCTCTCTCTCTCTCGCGCGCGCGAGGAAGCTGAGAAAATTATTCCTCTTATTCGGGCTTATTAATCAACTTCCCGACTCGCCTCGCTTTTCTCTCTCTCCGGACGAAAATCTCATTTGAGGGTGACGCGTAACGAAGATTCGAACCGACGGATTAATTTCCACTTAACGTGGAAGGGCCGAGAGAGGGAAAGCAAAATCCGGAAATAACGCGCGGTTCCGCGCGCAAGGAGCAATTTGAAGCACGAAAAATCTCCAAGTCAATCGCTATCGGAGTAACAGGATGTTCCAGAAATTTAAATACGTCCTTTTCCCCTCTTCTTTTTATCTCGCCGAGAGATACGAATAAGAAAGACGCGATCGACTTTATGTTAATCCCCCGACGTAGATTTCGCCCGCGCGAGAGCAATCATCCTTGCAGCAGCGGCGCGGAACGCGCGGTAATAGATTCGCAAATAACAGCGACATTTTTATGTATCCGCCGCAATATGATTTATTATGTGATTGCGCATCCATGAGATATCATATTCTCGTAATTCACACTTCGCCCGTTCGCCTTGGAGCACGCTCCGAGGCGCCAGCTCGGATGCTAATCTCCAATTAATTGCGGGACAAGCGCCCGCGGCGATCGCGCGAATCGCGTTTCGCAACGTGACTAATATAGCCCCCGTTAAACCTCCGTGACATTTAAAGACGGCTTACGGGATATTCCAAGTAATTATCGTTCTCTTTCTTATCCTCGTCTTCATAGTCGCTCCTCGGCGCTGGTGTGTGTTTCAGGTCTCCGTAAGGTATATCCCTATTACTTTACCTTCACGACATTCACGAAAGGTCGATGGGTCGGCGAGAAGATCCTGGAGGTCTTCGCGAGGGAATTCCGTGCCCATCCAGCCGAGGAATACGAGAGATGTATTCGCGCCGGCACCCTCACGGTCAACTATCAAAAGGTGGACGTCGATTACAGGTTACGGCACAACGATCTCCTGGCTAACGTCGTCCACAGGTACGTGAACGTTCTACCGGAAGCGGGTCGGCCGTGTCGTTCTCCCCCCCTCGCGTCGTGCACGATGCAATTGATTTTTGCGAGCGTTTGTCACCCGCCGCCGCCGTCGTCGTCGCCGGCGCGAGAGCCCGTCCTCGCGACTTCTCGCGGAAAATGTCAAGTGACTATTGTGAGAAAAGCGCCGCCGAGACTCGTGACTAAAGTTTGATTGAATCGCGACGATCGACGGCATCGAGCTGCGAAATGAAGAGAAAATTGCGCTTGTACGGAAACGTTGAGTTTAGTTTCTATTTTGGACCGCTTATTTGGTCGCAAAAATGCAATCTCGCGATGTTCCAAAAAACGGACGATACTCGCTATTTTTTCTTCCTTTTTTTTTTTTAAATGGAATTTAGTAGATTGCGAGTGCATATTTTAAAATGGCATTTTATAACACCAAAGTGGTGTACGTGTTATTCGATGTAAAAGGCACGTTCCTTTATCCATTTATACCGGGCGCACACGACACGTAACGTCGGGGTTTCTCGGGCACGCTTTAAATCCACTTTTTATCGAAGCGGGGTAGCTTGTTTATCGGTCGACGCGGGAATTTCGGCCGACGTCGGGCATACAGCTCCGGCGGCGTATACATATTTAACGATGCCTATTGGCCCCGTATAAATCCAGGTTAGCTTCCGCAGGAATTTACTTTGATTTCAGAAGAGCCCCGGGAATTTGGCGAGCCTTGTCAGGCGCGCGCAAATGAGATCGGGTTTAATTTCGGGAATTTCCGAGTTTAACCGCTTAGAGCCTTGTTTCGCCCGCGCGAGCGCGGAATGCGATGTATCATTGTGATCGACGAGCTATACTGCGCGCTGAGAAGGATCATCCTTATTTCGCACATAGATTTTTAGCCAACGCGTTCTCATCTGCCGCCATATATCCACCCGATGGAGGATATGACGTAACGCGAAATGCGATCGACGGCTCAGCTCGGCGAGCGAGCTGTGTTTGCGCGTTACGTTGTATTATATGCGAGGAAGGTATCTAATGCGGATCAAATTTAGTTGATTTACACGAGACGGAAACGCATGCGTGGAAAGCGGCTCAGCTGAAGCGGGCAACATCGGATTAGTGCCGGGATTACAGCGGTTGCTTGAAACAGAAGTCTAAAATGCATAATCCGTGTATAAACGGTTTAATTTGCACACGCCAGAGCGCAGCATCCGTTATTCGCAACGTGGGAAGATGGACGGAAGCAGGTAGAGAGCGCGAGAGAAGAGTCGTGGCCGTCTGTAATATTTCGGGACGCCTCGAGAGGAGTGACCCGGCGTGTGTCCCTCTTGGCTTTTCGAAGTAAAGTAAGACTGGACGCGATATCCGCGAAGGTCAGGACGATGTAACCGCGCAGGAAACGCGCGCAACGATGGCGTGTCGGTCGAATGGCTGCGGCGGTAGAGGTCCAACGAACTCGTAAATCATCCGCCTCTCCTTGCTCGGAGCGGCGTAGATAAGAGGGAGCCTCGGCGAATCCTCCGCGTGCGCACGAGGCCGGGAACCACATGGCCGGGACTCGTGTGATTATCCTTGGCACGGATATATAAGAATCTAATAAGCCACACGAGCGCGCACGCACGCTCTTTCGCCTCTCGAGCGCGTTTTTAAACGCTCCGACGCTCAACGAGGCTCGGCCCGCTATCGGCGCCGGTTATCGCAAGGAACGTGTGCGGATGCGCCACGGTAGCTTCTGCTCCGTCATTCGAGATAAGAACGCGGAGAGGTCTCGAGAAGAGATGCCTCGGAAAGATGTACGCGCGTCGTATTTCGAATCGGAAAGGAGAAAAAAAAATTGAACGAAATATGAACTTTCTCTCCTTCCGTCGTCGCCGTTCGTCGCGAGTGGCGGCGGCAATCCTCTCTGACGTACGGAAGCTGGATTAAATTATTTCACGTCTCGCGCGCCGCTAATACGGTCCGCTCGCGCTTGCATGCTAATTCCAGCAATTATCCTGGGCAATTGTACTTTTCAGGCGCGCGCTCGCGACACGCGGACCACTCGTGTCCTACATTTTCGCCGCGTGTCTCCCGCCGTCATTATAATGGCAAATTCCGGAGTTAATTCGTCGCTCGCGAGAGGGATATTTTTATTTTTCCTTTCCACGTCGATTTTTCACGTCGACGCGGAGACGTGCAAGCTGACGGCGCGGTAAAACTCGCCTCCGGGCGAGTTTCTGGCGCGTCGATTGAGTTTCCGATGGGTGAGCGAAGTTAATCGGGTGAAGGCCGGCCGGGGAACAGAATGTGGTCGCCTGGCCGCTAGTAATAAACAATGAGATGCATCGCGTGACGTCATCGGGGGATCGGGGGATCGTAAAAAAAAAAAAGGTGCATTTGGGAGATAAGGTGACTCTCCGGACACGCGAACAACCGTGCGACTCTTCGCAATTAAAACGCTCGAACGCTAGTGAAACGTCTCGTCGATCGCCGCGCGATACCGCGAGACACGTTGTCTTTCCACGATTAAAACTCCGCAATTAAAACGGGGATCGCGAGTGTAATCTAGGTCAGTCGTGGGAGTTTTGCATCGCGGACGCGCGCGACCAACAACGACCGGCGGCTCTCGTTTCGTTATTTACGTTATCGGAGTAATTACGTTACGCGCGCCTTGCATAAAGACGGAATACAAATATGGGGGAGAAGCAACATCGCGCCGAACACCGTGGGTTGTTACGATAGTCGGAACAATTGCGGAGATGGATGGAAAATAAATTGGCGACGGTGGTAATACCACCTGTGCCGTCGCTGATATTACCCCGCCGGTTGTTGTCACGTCTCGGTATGCACTCGCGACCGTTACGGCGTATGTGACGCGTACGCGAAAGTTTCGCAAGCCGCCATTGTCACGCTCGCGAAGAGGAGCATTTTCCCGGCGAGAATGCGCCCGAGGGAATGCTCGCGGTCGCCGTGAATTTTCGCGCGAAAGAGAAATGTCTCGCGCTCGGCTGCGCGTTGCCGGTAACTTGTATTGTTATATATAATTATATCCTCTCAAGATAATACCGTTATCGCATTGGTACGCGTTGCTAATTAATCGTCTAATCTAAAGTATAAAATTTAAACGTATTCTCTAGATTCTTTCGCGTTCTTCTACGCTGTTAAATATTAAAGGGCATAATTTAAACCAATATTTTAAGTTAAATACCATTTTGTTACTGTTAACTACTATGTGTGTGTGTGTGTGTCAAAATTTATTATTTTAACACGAAATAATATTAGTTCAACTCTATTGGTTTAGTTAAATTAACATTGTTTTAGTTAAATTAACTTCGTATTGATCAGGAGCAGGAGGCGATCTATAGGAATGGTTAAAAATGGTTAAAAATGACTCAAATTGAGTATAAATTGACATTACGAATTTAACAGATTCTTTCTTTCGAAAATGTTGCCTCCTGGCTATAAATTGCCGTTTATCGCATCGTTTTGTTTTTCTCGAGGACTCCTACGTTGACATCATCCGCTCGAATCGCCGTTTGATCACAGCCGTGAAATTCCTCGGACCATCCGTAACTCCGAGAGGACGAAGGAAAAGTCCCCGGTGTTTCTCTACCAACAGCGTGTTCTCCTTCGGGGAGGAGGGGGTGAGGGATTCACGGCGGCTGAGAGGAAAGGAAGCGCGAAGGAAAAACGACTTCGGTAATCTCGCCTCGAGGGCGAGAAAGCTGAAACGGCGACCGATATGCCTCGAAGGACACCGGCGTCGCTCGCACATTCGACGGTGCAGATACTTACGCGAAGGACACGATCGTGTCGCAATCGCGCTTGGACGACACGGCTGGATAACGCGAGACCTTTCGCAAACGGCCGGCATTCCGTTCGGGGCATCCATCACCGTGTCAGCGCCAATCGACGTGTCGATTCCCATCGCGCGAATCCGGCAAATCGCTTCCTAAAGTAGCCGTGAATCACCTGGTAAACAACGCAGTGTTTGCGCGACGCGAGTCCTCACGAGGACTGCCGGGTTAATCGATTCCCGCGAACGCTCGATCGCCGTCCCTGTCGCGGTAATTGATGTAACGAGCGAGGCGTCGTGGCACGTTATCGCACGTTTTCTTCAGTCATTCATGTCGGAAAAACGGGCGTCCCTGAACCGCCGCCGGCAACGGGGAAGAAGTTTTACTTTCTTACGTCAAGTGACAAGAAACAGAAGGTCTATGTTAATAGAATGGAAATTGCATGGATGTTCGATTATTATCTGTAGAACACATGGCCGTGGGCGACCAGCTAATTATTAACTCCGCGGAACGGAGATAGAGATCTCTGAAGGTTTCGCCACGCACGGCGAATCGCTTTCGACGTATTGTCAGAAATAATAGCTTCTCCACGACGAAGCGCAGCCTGTGCAGCGCGCCAGAGAGCGGACGCTCCAGCGGCAGCAGAGAGACGCATCGTTTACCGCTACCATTTTTCAATTAAAGTCCCGACGTCCGTGGTATCCGCGATCGATGGTCCAGAATAGCCTCTCAAAAGTCTTTGGAGAAAACTTGTGGGCGTGACGAGCGTCGAGCTCAGCTCTCGCCGTCGGCCTTCATTCCGGGATCGTTCCTCGGGAACGTTCCCCGGTTCTACGTACACGTTGTTACAAGCGTTCTCTCTCTCTCTTCTCTCTCTCCTCTCTCTCGCGTCCCTCCCGGTGATGCGGGAAATTCGGTGGGATGATTCAATTAGCCGGAAGAGCCTCTCGGTAGGCGAGCGATCCGCTTCACCGTCAGCGCCGTGTAATTTCGCAGGAGAATTGGTCCCCGTCGATGCATCGGCAACGTAACGGCGCGTAGAATAGGATGCGCGTCTCTTCCGCCTTCATCTCGCCTTCCAAACGATTAATCTTCCCGAGCTTCTTCTCGCAATATCGATCGTGTCACCATCTCCATCCTCGCGGAACATATCGCGGAACGTCTTGTGGAAACGTCTTGCGGAATGCTCGTCGTAACGTTCGTTGAAGAAGTAATCCGGTTAATATCCGC